AGTGATGAATGTCGAAGAGAACCCAGGTCGCTCTGATCCTCAGCTGGATGAACTGTCGGTTCTTCAGGATGTGGAAATTCCTTAGGGACAGGTTGATGGGTTGATGGGCTGAGGCATAAACCTCACAAAAAAAAAAAAATCTGGAAGTTCAGCAGAACAAAGCAAAAAGCATAAGCAGCATGACGCTTTATCCATAATCGTAATCCTTTTCCGTCGCTGGAGGTCATTAAGGGGTACTTGAGTTGTCGGAGGCATCAGAAGTTGTTCAGGTCCTGGGAGGAAACTGTTGACCCTTCCCCTTCCAGGTGTTCAATGCTTTGTTGCAGGATTGATCTTGGTGGTTGTCTATGACGCCACTCCTTCCTCACGACTTCAGTCCCTTTTCCAGTTTAATCCATCCGTTTGTGACAGGAGTTCTTCTTTAGCATAATCCAATTTCTTCAGGGCCCTCCCAGTCAAAGCCTTGAAGTTGTTCTTTGAATGGGAATCATCCTGTAATAGTGGCCAGTTTAACACAGGATGGCATGGTGCTAGATTATTGCAATGTTCTGGTTTGCTTTAGATAAGAACTGGCTTGAGCACTGACCTCGTGGACCCCTTTCTTCATCAGTAGTAGTGTTTTGCAGTTCAGAGCTTGCTTCACAAAATCCATTCTGTTGATTTTTAGCTTGATCACCGTGGCTGCATTGAAAACTTTCTGCCCTGTTTTCAATGACACTAAACAGCAACTTCCCCTTTCCCTCTCTGGGCAAAAGGGAGAAGTGCCTTCGGCTCCCTGCTTTCCGTGACTTGAATGGAGTTCCTCTGCAGGGGAAGACCTGCTCTTCTACAGCTGTCACTGTTGCACTGTGTCCATCAGCACCAAGAGGTACTCCTCACCTCTCTTTTCTGTTATCCATGGGGCCTGCTACATCCATGCAGTCTGAACACCCGGGTAATGTGCTCTTGATGAACTACCCTTCCATCCGCTGCCCTGGGAGCCCTACGTATTGACCACATACTCACAGTCCCACAGCTGCATCGGATGGTCTGAAGGGACGTCCAGCAGGCCTGCTCACTCAGTTCTTCATGTGGAGGTAGCGGGTCTGCATATCCGAGTACCATATGCACGCCCTGCACTACCTCGTCCATGTACTTCTCTAGGACCACCTGTCCTTAGGTGTTCTGTCCTACCTCGACCCCGGCAGAGACAATCCCTCGGTTGCACGAAGTGATGTTCATCTTCGCCCCTCCATAGGGTTTCTTTTCAGGTGTGCGAGTTTCAGGCTGAGCCTCAATTCTGCTTCCTTCTTCTTTAACCGGCTATCTGTGTTGATGTCAGCTGCTGGTGTTTGTTCCTCTGTTGCCAGATGTCTGCTCGATGGCTGCAGCGGAAGTTGTAATGGCTGTCGTGGCTGTAGTTCCTCATCCATCGTCAGCTGATGATACTTTTACTTTACTTGCAGGCTGATCATTTTCTTTCTTTTCAGCATTACATCACAAACCACTCCAACAAGAGAAAGCCAACATTTCTTTGTCAGGGTTTGATGTATCAGTTCCTCGTTCTTGATTTCAACTTCCCCACTTGCTCCAGGTCTGATTCACAGTAGCAGTGTAGAAAGCTGATGCTGTTCTATTGAGGTCTCGCCGTCCTCATTTGCCAGGAGTTCTGGGCCGCCGGCTTCCTCCGGTTTCTTCCCCAGATTTTCCTTCCCGAAGTGATCATCCATCACTCCGTCTCTATGTCAGTTCGAGTTGTCTATCTGCAAAGCCCCCTTTAGTGCCTAAGGTGGCATCATATATAGTGTAGTACTTGAATGCATCTGCTTATCTCTGCATTATTTCCCATACTGACTAGGCTAATCTGAGTTTAAGTGCGTTACTGTTCATTTACTTCGTTAACAGAATTCTTTATGCAGCGGTTGTGTGTTCTGGATGCTCACTGACTCTGGTGTGGACATGTGAAGTTCGTCTGCATCGGCGTTAGAGCACGTAAACTATCCAGTTGTACTCCGGTTCGGTTATCTTCATTAAAAGAAGATCAACATTATTCCCTCCTGGAGTGGTTATTATCCCGCACCTTTACAATCCATCAGTGGCCACTGTTAACAACTGGTGTCAGAAGTGGGATATTCCGGACCGGATTCAAGACACGGAAGGGCGTCTTGGTGCTTCGGATGAATCGCCCTAGTAAAAGTAAGACGGACAAAAAGAAGGAAAAATACAGTCCAGAGAAATAAGCAAGCCAGTATTGAGCTCCAAGACTGAAAGCAAGATTAAGCTGTGTAAACAGTGAATCTGTTCGTTTCGGTGAGAAACGTTAGCTTGTTAGCAGTTAAAAAAAAAACAACAACAACAAAAAAACATCTGTCAAGAAAAGTAACGGCCTCACTGTAAAAACAGTAGCTGGAGGTGCCAAAGCCTAAAACAAAGCAGCACAAGTGACTATTAAAAAAATATAATTATTATAATGGATGAAAATGAGGAACTACTGGGAGTTACAGCAGCACCATCAGACCAACCTCCACCATGGGTGCAAATGTTGTTGGACCATCAGTGAAAACAGTTAAAGCAACTGCTAACGCCAGTGCTACACCATGTTGCAGCAGAGCAAAGAGAGACATCTAGAGCAGTGCAACCAACAATAAGCAGCCAAATCCCGAATCCTGGAACTGCCCCTCCTCCCTTAATATTGCAAGAAAACCCAGAAGCACCCAGTGTTCAACCACACACACGGTTACGTAATGCAGGCCCATCCAACACTTCAGCCATCCGTGATCCAACTGTAAGGCGTAGAGTGGGAGACATACATCAGCGTTCATCTGCCACACATCCCATTTCACAGGATGCATATGGAGGATTTGGCCAGACTGAGAGTCGGCATGAGGTGGCAAGACAACCACTACATGAAGCAGCCAAAGTTAAGCTGGCAACATATGACGGCAAAGAGGACTGGGACTCATTTTTGCTCCCCTTTGAACGTCAGGCTTGTAAATGTGGATGGACAGGGGTGGAGAAGCTTATCTACATTCATGAGTAGATAAGCTTCATGAATGTCTCCATGGGGTTGCAATACATTATGTCTGCTTCTTGCCTGAACACATCCGTGAAGACTACACTCTTCTCAAAGAGCAGTTTACTCAAAGATTTGGAGTAAAAGACCCCCCCACCACTGTTCACAGGAAGCTGGGAGAACTGCGTCAGTGCAAAGAATCACCAGCAGAGTTTGCAGAGGAAGTGCGACGCCTGGTGACTTTGGCATATCCAGGAACAGATTTATTACTCCAGGATCAGCTGGCAACTGATGTCTTCCTGAAAGGCC